TGCCCTCCTCACTCTTCCCCTTCCATTGCAGCATGTGCGGCGGGCAGCAGTGCTGGCGCTGACAACAGCAGCGCACAACAAGCCAGGGCTGGTGGAGGACCTCTTGCCAGAGCTGCTGCCGCTGCTGTACGACCAGATGCGAGTCAAGGTACCATCTGACAAAGATGCGTGGCATGAAGAGTCCACATTTTAGATCAGAAATGCTGAAAGTTGAAAGTGGAGGGCTCGTTTTGCTCTTGCCATACCATGCCATTTTTAAGTGAAGTCTTCACATTTCTTGCTCACCCGCTTCTGCTCCTGCCACATGCAGCCTGAGATGATCCGGACCGTTGATCTGGGCCCATTCAAGCACACAGTGGACGATGGACTGGAGCTGCGCAAGGCAGCCTTTGACTGCATGGACACGCTCCTCTCCACCTGCCTGCACCGCATCCAACCGGCCGCCTTCATCACCCCCTTCCTCATCTCTGGGCTCTCCGGTACGTGCACCCTCTTGACACATCAAATGCGTGTACTCTGCTACTCATGTGACACCAGCCCATCCCGTGTTCAGTTCGACCTGAAACGTCTTCAACACCATCTCATTAAAAATGTTTGTTTCCTTCATTTCCTTTCTCATCCCTCCCCTCCCCGCTCCTCCCTGTTCCATCCGTCCTCTCCCCTTCTCCCCTTTCCTCCTCTCATGGATCCAACCATCTGCTGCAGACAACTACGATGTGAAGATGCCATGCCATCTGGTGCTGGCGAAGCTGGCAGAGAAGTGCGCCCCATCGGTGCTGGCAGTGGTGGATGCACTGGTTGACCCCTTGGAGAAGACCGTGACAACACGCGTGAAGGCAGACGCCGTGAAGCAGGAGGTGGACCGCAATGAGGACATGATCCGCAGTGCCCTGCGCGCCGTGCACGCACTGTCCAAGATTAGGTGAGTTGCGCTTACTTGGATTCAGTGAGTGGCAAGGCAAGCAGGTGAGTGGTGCGGTGGTGGGGCCAGCAAAGATCGCTCTCGAGCAGGAAGTGGACCGCAACAAGGACATGATCCGCAGCGCCCTGCGCGCCGTACGCTCTCTCCCGGATTAGGTGAGATGCGCTTCACCTCAAGTCCATGCGCTTCCGTGGATCGAGTGAGTGGCAGGTGTGGGAGCGAGCAGGTGAGTGGTGTGGTGGTGGGGTGGTGTGGTGGTATGGACCACAAGGATGCCGTGAAGCAGGAGCTGGACCACAATGTCGAAATGATCTGCAGCGCCCTGTGCACCGTGCATGCTCTCTCGCGCATCAGGTGAGTGCCATGCACGCACTTCTGCTACTGCCGCTTCGCCACCTGCTTGCTGCAAAAGCCTTCAGGCTTTCGCACTCACACCCTCCATTCACCCCTGACTCTGTTGCTGAACACAAGGTACTACCTCTGCTCTGCTCTCTCTTCCTTCCACTCCCCCTCAACCCCTGTTCCGCGCCGTTCCCATGGCACAAGCAGCAATGTGGAGTCATCTACTCGCTTCAAGACATTCATGACCAACGTGGTCAGAGCGGGCCCTGTGGGGAACCTGTACAATCAAATCAGATCGGAGCAGGATGCTGTAGCTGGCAGCAGTCGTGCAGAGCTATGATGGCATCATAGCACACGGAATTATCGTGTGTCTTGATCTACCAAAGCAGCCCATTCCTGGTAAAGGTGGGTTTGCTTCTCCAATTGCTGTGTGCAATGGGACAGGCTAACATGAATGGCACCCTATGGCATGTGAAACAAAATAGTTTTCTAACATGGATAATATACGGTACCTGAGAAAACAGCTTGCATTGATGTGATGTTGCACCATTACATGGAAGGAGGGATGGTGGGTTGATAATGAACAAATGAATTGTGTCTCTTCATTGCCATGTTGCCGTTGAGAAATGAGAAATGAGAAATGAGAAATGAGAATAATAAGAGTTCACAATGGCCCGAGAATTTATCGCTTCCAGATTTCTCTTGACAAACTGCTTAGCGCGTATTATTCTCGTCTCCCTGTTTCGGATGTTCGTCTCCCTGGATATTGCATTCGTTCTTCTGACCGGTCACCGAAGCTCTCCTCGACTCGACTCGCCGGCAGGGCTCTCTTTTCGTTTTCGGGCACGCTTCCAAATCAGGTTCCCGCCGCCCGCCACCCGGCCTGGCCAGGTGGTGCGCGGCAAAATCAGGGTAGTGGCAGGATATTTTTCGCCAAACCTTGCCAGACCCTTCAAACCGAACCTTGCCTCGGGTTTGCGCGGCAACCGAGCTGAGCTCGACGCCAGGCTGCTGAACCTCCCGGTTTTGAAATCCCGTCTGGTGCACCACGCCACCCGCGCTGTTTGTGTGGCTGTGGAAAGGCTATTCTTCTCTCATCAGGCGAACATGTCGACTATGGCTTGCATAGCACAGTGTACAGGCTTGCACAGCACAGTGTACAGTCGTGTTTTGCCCAGTTGTGACGATAGCTCGCTCCGCTTGACAAAGCACGGTGCAGCACCACCGCGGCGACCACATGCGCTCTGGCATGAAGCACAGCACCTGAAAGAGAGAGGGAGAAGAACGAAACGGAGCATGAAGCATTCAGAATGCAAAATCACGCGTCGCGCTAATACCCTTGTGAAAGGAGACGATTGTTTCGGAGCCGACGATAGGTTGGAAGAGGGTGACAGAGTAAAAGGGTTCAATCCAAAGGCTTGTGTCACATACTTGCTGGCTTGATTTCGACATTCCGGGGGCCGCTGGAATTCATTCTCTAATTATATGGTAGAGGTACCCTGGTGTTACTTTGCTGCACATCACACCTTATTTCCGCAGTCTGAGAGCCTGACAGCCTGAGAGCCTCTACGAGCGACTAATTATTAAGGACCGCGTAGTACTACGCGCGCTTGTGAGCTTAGATTCTCCTTCACTCTTCGCAAACTTCGGTTCGGTATCCGTCAACCGTAAGATCCGTAACTCGGATGGATCGATGGCGGCTTCCAAGGGGAGCGCCTTGGCGTTAGCGGCTGTGCTGCAGCTGCTGCTGCTTGCGGGTAACGCCGTGCCGTGCGCGGGTCAGGACACGAGCCTGCAGCAGTGCTTCTGGCCGATCAAATCCAAGGAGGGTAAGCTCGCTATCACGCATGCCGACTTTCCTTCACGCAATGCTGGCTTCGTTTCGCTCAATATCGGCTTATTTTCTCAGTAATTCACGCAATTTCAGCTTCTATTCTCATCAATGTCGCTTCGATTCTTCAGCATTTCACGCAATGGTCTAGCGCAATCACATCTCAATTCTGCCACCCAACATAAGTTTTCTCTCATGCAGTCTGGGCCTAACGGTAAAGTTGTTCATCTAATGCTTGGCAGCGCGAACTCTATCAGTTGTGACACTGGGTCTAGATTACTTTCCGTACGACCTGAGTTATATCACCACCTGCGTCAATGTCGGCCTCACTTGCAGCGCCGACGGCTACGTCACTCATATGTCAGTGCTGCTGCTGCTGCTGCTGCTCATGCCGTCGCTGATGCTGATGCCCATGTTAGGGTAAAAGGTGGAGTACGAGATGCTTGCGAGTACACTTTCTTGCCTTGACTCGTGGCGGTTGTGCGTGCAGAGATTGGCCGAACAAGGCAATCCAAGGGGAGCTTCCTCCACAGTTTTTCCAGCTGGTGCACCTTGAATTCCTGTGAGATTCTGCGCTTGAACCACACTGAAAGCCTTGTGGCAGGACTGGGCCGCTACCTTGCATATGCGCCATCAGCTCAATGCTTCTTGACTGTTTTCAGGAACTAAGAAGGCGATATAATCGCCTGAGCCGTGCGTGATGTAGAGCAGAGGGTCAGCTCTTGCTTTGCCCCTGAAGACCATGCGGTCATCTGTGTGTGTGCTAGCATGTCATGCGGTCACCCGTGTGTGTGCTGCCATGCCATGCATGTGATCAACGCTGGTGCCACCTTCACAACCCTGGCCACGCGCAGGTCTCTGCGCGACAACTATCTGCGTGGCTCCATCCCTTCTGAAATCGGAAACCTCGTCAATCTCACATCATTGTCAGTGAACGCCGCTGCTTTATCAGTTAACTTCGCCCTTCTCTCAGTTAACGTCGCTCCTTTGTCAGTTAGTGTTGTCCCTCTTTTGAGTTAACCCTTCCGTCAGTACTAATGGCATGGATCTAAATCCTCTAACGTTCCCTCTGATTGTTCTTTCTGTGCGTGCATGTGTGCGTGCATGCATGTGTGTGTGCATGCATGTGTGCGAGTGTGTGCATGCATATGTGCGAATGTGTGAACACTGGTGTGGGTGTGCGAGTGTGTGTGCATGCATGCATGGCAGGGACCTCACCAACAACTCCTTCTCAGGCCCCTTCCCCACCTTCTTGAGCAGACTCACCAAGCTCTCATACCTGTCAGTCAGTTAACGCTTCCCTCCTGTCAGTCAACAATTCCTACCTTTCAGTCAACAAGTCCTCCCTGTCAGTCACATTTTCGTCCCTGTCAGTCACATTTTCGTCCCTGTCAGTCAGGCATTTCGTTAAGCCACCCACTTCCACCAGCTGGTCGGTCGACAGTTGGCTCTACCCGCTCCTATGTCCTGCTATGCCATGCCATGCCATGCCATGACATGCCGTGCCATGCCATGCCAAGCCGTGCCATGCCATGCCAAGCCGTGCCATGCCATGCCGCCCCTACCACCACCAGGTACCTGTCATTGAACAAGTTTTCGGGCAGCCTTGATGCCATCGGCAACATAATCTCTCTCAACGAACTGTATGTGTGCGCCCCCCGGCATGCATGTGTGCCGCCCGGCATGTATGTGTGCCGCCCGGGATGTATGTGCGCCGCCCAGCATGTATTTGTGCCGCCCGGTATTTTCTGAGTTTTCATCCTTCAACCGCCTCCACTCAATCAGTGTATCGTATCCCAGTCACTATCATCTCACCCCCATGTGCGCATGCCAAATGACTCGTGTGCATGCAGAGACTTGTCACACAACCGCCTGTCAGGGACCATCCCCCAGTCCTTCTCCGCCATGACCAGCCTCAGGTCCATGTGAGTCTCACCTCCATGCCATGCCATGCCATCCCATGCCATGCCATGCCATCCCATGCCATCCCATGCCATGCCATGCCATGCCATGCCATGCCATGCCATCTCATGCCATACCATGCCATCCCATGCCATGCCATGCCATGCCATGCCATCCCATGCCGTGCCATACCATGCCATGCGACCCATGCCATGCTATGCCATGCCGTCTGTCAGCTCCATGTGAGTCTCAGTTCCATCTAAGTCTCAGCTCCATGCAGCGCCATGCCATGCCATTCCATGAAAACTGCCATTATCTGCCACCATCCTGCCAATCAGCGTCCATCATACCACCCACCCGCCACATCTGCCACTCACCAATGTAGCAGCATACCCCTTTTCCACCGTAACCTTCACCTCCTTGCTACTCCCCACACCCCCATCCCCCCTCCATCCCAACCCCCCTGCCCCCTGCCCCACAATCGCATGCACCATCCATGTTCCCCCCGCCCTCCACGGCAGTTGGCTGGACAACAACATGTTTACGGGGTCGCTGGCGCCCCTCGCTGCTCTCTACTCCCTCACCAGAATGTGAGCACTTCTCCCCTCCCTCAACGCAATGTCAGCACCTCTCTCGCCCTCCATGCCTTGTGAGCACCACTCTCGCCCTCCATGCCTTGTGAGCACCACTCTCGCCCTCCATGCCTTGTGAGCACCACTCTCGCCCTCCATGCCTTGTGAGCACCACTCTCGCCCTCCATGCTTGTGAGGACCACTCTCGCCCTCCATGCCTTGTGAGCACCACTCTCGCCCTCCATGCCTTGTGAGCACCACTCTCGCCCTCCATGCCTTGTGAGCACCACTCTCGCCCTCCATGCCTTGTGAGCACCACTCTCGCCCTCCATGCCTTGTGAGCACCACTCTCGCCCTCCATGCCTTGTGAGCACCACTCTCGCCCTCCATGCCTTGTGAGCACCACTCTCGCCCTCCATGCCTTGTGAGCACCACTCTCGCCCTCCATGCCTTGTGAGCACCACTCTCGCCCTCCATGCCTTGTGAGCACCACTCTCGCCCTCCATGCCTTGTGAGCACCACTCTCGCCCTCCATGCCTTGTGAGCACCACTCCCGCCCTCCATGCCTTGTGAGCACCTCTCTCGCCCTCCATGCCTTGTCGGCTCTTCTCTCGGCCTCTGTGCCAATCTTCTTCTGCCTTCACCCAAAAACCTTTCCCTCTCTCGATCTCCCGATTTTGTCACCCCATGGCTATGCGCAGCTCCCTGTGCTGCAACCGCTTCAATGGTTCCATACCGCCCACCTTCGCCAGCAACCCGACCGACTTGTATGCCTCTTGCTACGATACCTTGTGCCATGCGTCGGCATCATGTGCCATACGTCGGCATCATGTGCCATGCTCCATGCACCATGCGGCATGTGCCATACGACATGCGCCATGCTCCATGCGCGATGCACCATGGCATGCCCTCCCTCCTCTCTCCAGCAAGCGTCCATACATCTTACTCCTCACATTCATTTCAGCCTTTTGCTGTCACGCCTACTCAATATACCAACTTCTCCTTCTCCTTCTGCTCCATCCTCGCCTCATCATCTTCTCCCTCCCACCTCCCCCCCCCCCCCCCCCTCCTCACCATGTCCTACCAGTGACATGTCAGTGAATAGCCTCAGAGGTTTTGAGTCGACTTAAAACTCACCTCGTCCCTCCTCCCACACCACACCCACCCCTCCCCCCACCACGGCCTGCCAGTGACGTGTCAGTGAACGACCTCACAGGGCCGCTGCCCTCCAGCCCTGAACCTGCTGGCGGCCTGAATTTGTGAGCCCCTCTGCTTATGCCCCCTCTGCTTCTGCCCCCTCTGCTTCTGACCCCTTGCTTTGGAGCCCTTCGCTTGTGAGGCACACTCTTTTCCTTCCATCCAAACGCTTTTCTTTCCAACCTGATCTCTATCCTCCTTTCCCTGCCTATCAATTCCCGTCACTGTGGGCTGCTGTGTGCCCCTGTGCCCCCTGTGCATCCCTGTGCTCCGCTGTGCACCCCTGTGCCTCCCTGTGGACCCCTGTGTGCCCCTGTGCACCCCTGTGCACCCCTGTGCACCCCTGTGCACCCTAAATCCCCTGTGTGCCCCTGTGCACCCCTGTGCACCCCTGTGCACCTCTGTCTGGCAGCAACGCGTCGTTCAATCGCCTCTCGGGGGAAATCCCTTTCGACTTCAACGCCAACATCTTTTACACCCTGTGCGTCGCCCCTCCCCCTCCTTCTCCACCCTGTGCGTCGCCCCTCCCCCTTGTTTCATGTGGTTCTAAAGAACTCTCAGAAACCACATGCAACAAGTCAGCCTTCCCTCCTCTCCCTTGAACAGTCCTTAGTCATCGAATAAATTGGGGAGAGCACAGCACAGCCAGGTCCGCAATGGGCATATCAACATCACAACTAGACAAGCTGCTAAGCAAGCGGCTCGGAGCGCTGAGCCTTTTGCAAGCCCCCACCACCTTCGCCCTCCATCTCTCCCCGAACCCTGGCTTTACCCACCCCCTAACCTTGTTTTCGCACCCCCCAACCTTGTTTTCGCACCCCCCACCACCCCCATCTCGCACTCCCCCTTTCTCCCCTCTCCCAAACCATTTCTCTGCTCTGTTTGAAGCGCATGAAATGTTGCCCCTCCCCTGCCGTGGTTTCCCTCCCTTCCCAGTGACATATCTCACAACAATTTATCGGGCAGAGCATTCTTTTCCGGGCAAAAAGGGGGAGCATTCTTTTCTCTTACCTCTACCGTGTGCGTGAGGTGTTTAAGCAGCATGGTGGTGAGTGCGTGAGCAGCAGACTGGTCATCCATGCGTGAGCAGACACCCACAGCAACACACAGGCATCAACCATGGACTCTGACAACCGCTCTCCACCATCATATTCATCCCTTCCACCATCGCACCTACCACCATTCCTTCCCATCATCTCGGCACCCTCAACCCCTCACACCAACGCAACCATTCTCTCTCACACAAACCCGTGCCTGCTCATCCATCCAGCACACTCCATTCCATCACCCTGTCTCCCTGCCCCCGCACCCATCACGATCCCCTCTTCCCTCTCCCCCCTTCATCCCCTTGGCACTGTTCTCTTTCATCCTCCAGCAACTTCGCGCACAACAGATTCTCGGGAGCACTCGACCCCTCCCTCTCCATCTTCACCTACCTCTCCGAGCTGTGCGTTGCCCTCACCTTACCACATCTCTGCCCTCCTGCCCTTCCCACCTGCCACCTCCCCATTGCCTTGCCCTTCCCACCTGTCTATGCACTATGCATATCCCTCTCTGTTGTCCCTCACTCTCGTGCCTCACACCCATGCTTTCCTTAACCCCCTCCGCTCCCACCCCCATTCCCTCTCTGTCTCTCCTATCACAGCCCCAAGCCCCTCTGTATGGTATAGCTTCTCCTATCACCGCCCATACTCTCCGTGTTTTCCCCCCGCCGTGTCCCTGTGCTCTCTCCCCTCCAGGGACATATCAGGCAACCTCCTCACGGGGTCCATTCCTGCCTTCATGTCACGCCTCACTTACCTCACTCTGCTGTATGCCCTTGCTTTGCTATGTGCGCTTGATTTGCTGTGTGCCCTCGCTCTGCTGTCCATAATTCATGCGTGGGAGCAATGCATGGGTGGTAAAGCAAGATGGAGTGAAGTTATTCATTTTCACACTCCTTGCCGCTCCCCTTTTCCACAATTGCCTCTCTCTTCGCGTGCACCCCTCTCCCTGCCCTCACTCCACTCCTCACCTCCGCACCTCTCCCTGCCCACATTCCACTCCCCACCACCGCATTCCACCCCTCTCCCTTTCCCCTGTGGCCGCCCTCCCCACCTGCAGCGACCTTTCTTCCAACCAGTTCACTGGCACCGTGCCGCCAGCTGTCAGCAACCCCACTGGCCTCGTCAACATGTGAGATGACATGTCAGCAAACGTGAGGTGCCATGTCAGCATGTGACATGACGACATGTGTGTGAGCATGTGCGCGTGTGACATTGCACATCAGATGACATGGTACGTCTCTGTCACCCACCCACCCGTGTCTACCCCTGTCCACCCCGTCCTCCCCTTCCCACAGCAACCTGGCACACAACCTGCTGCAGGGCTCCCTTCCCCGGGCCCTCTCCCGCCTCGCCTCCCTCACCTACCTGTGCGCCCTCCTCTCCCTTGCTCGCCACTGCTCCTTCTCGTCATGCCATGTCATGCACCACGTCATGCCATATCATGCACCACGTCATGCCATGCCATGCACCAAGTCATGCCACGTCATGCACCACGTCATGCACCACGTCATGCACCACGTCATGCACCACGTCATGCCATGCCTTGTGCGTTTACTCAATTATTCGCACTGGCATGCCCACTTGCATGCCATATGCCATGCCTTGTGCGAAATACCATCACCTAATAGCCTATACCCCATACTCCACACCCTAAGCTTCATACCCTGTTATACCCATGCATGCCCCCTCCTAGCAACGTGTCGTCCAATCAGCTGTCAGGAGACATCACACCAGCCCTCTTTCCTCTGCGCTCCCTTGAGATTGTGTGAGGCTCTCGTGTGGCCAGGGGTGTGGGGCTTGTGGCATGGGGCTTCTGGCATGGGGCATGGTGCATGGAGCGTGGGCCAGTGGGCATGGAGCATGAGGCATGGGGCATGGCACATTGGGGATGACAGATGGGCACGGTGCAGGGGGCGCATTGTACCAGCTTACCGCACCATTTTATTTCCCCATGCTGTATCACATGGGGGTTTCCCGTTCCTGCCCTCCGCATTCTCGTATCCCCTCGCCTCCCATCGCTTCGTCTCCCCTAAATCCCTGTCATTTGCCCCCCATGCCCTGCCATTCTCCCCCATCCCCGCGTGCTCCACAGTGACATTTCAGCCAACGCATTGAACGGCTCTGTTCCGCCCTTCTTCAGTCGTATGCCCAACATGACCCACCTGTATGTATCACCATGACCCACCTGTATGGCATGACCCACCTGTGTGGCATGACCCACCTGTATGGCATGACTCACCTGTATGGCATGACTCACCTGTATGGCATGACTCACCTGTATGGCATGACTCACCTGTATGGCATGACTCACCTGTATGGCATGACTCACCTGTATGGCATGACTCACCTGTATGGCATGACCCACCTGTATGGCATGACTCACCTGTATGGCATGACCCACTTGTATGGCCACGACATGCATATATGCATGTATCGTTCCTATATGGACTTCGCATGCCTGTATGTGAACCACTATATTATTCCCCTCCCGTGGAGCATGCCGTGTCTTGACATGTCAGCATGCCATGTCATGACATTTGATGTCAGCATGCCACGTCATGACATCTAATGTCAGCATGAGCCACCCACCCAAGACCCACGGCAGAGACACATAAGCATCCATCCCACTGCCCTTGCCCATGCCATTGTTGTGTATGTACATCAACCACCCATGGTCCCATGACCCGCAATGAGGCCATCACATGCCCACCCCTTACCCTTGCCTGTACCACGCCATGCCATCCCCATACCACGCCACCCCGTGCCACGCCATGGCAGAGACATGGCCATCAACCAAATCTTCGGCTCGCTGCCTCCCTCCATCTTCAACCTGCGACAGCTCTCCCATCTGTCAGTCAACTTCCCTATCTATACCAACCACCCATCAGTAATTTCCGGCATCAGAAGAGCAGTTTCTAGCAACCAGCCATTCATCTTGGATCCATTCATCCTCACCATCGGTCCTCATGTCATCTCTCATCCGCCCCTCTGCCCTCTCTCCCCCTGCCCCCTGCCACACAACTCACCATCCCAGCAACGTGTCGCGCAACCGCCTCTCAGGCCCTCTGCCCAACGCTTCTGCCAGCCCAGCTCTCATCATGTGCGTATGCCCTGGTAACCACGAGAGCCGTGGTAACTACGAGATCCTTGGTAACCATTCCATTCGAATCTTGCGAGTAAAAACTCCCATCTCCTTCCTTCTCCCTCCCCTTTCCCTCCTGAACCCTCCCTTTCCTGGTGCGTGTTCTCTCAACCGTTGCTTTTACTTCCCACCCACCCACGTATCTCTCTCTCCCTTCTACTCCCATCCATGCCTCTCTCCCATCTCTCCATCTACACACTCAACACGCATTCAACACGCTCCCATCGCCGCAGCGACCTCTCATTCAACACGCTCTCAGGGTCGCTGGAGAGGCGCCATGTCAATCTCAATCGCCTGGTCACGCTGTGAGTGTGGGGCCATGCTGTGAGTGTGGGGCCATGCTGTGAGTGTGGGGCCATGCTGTGAGTGTGGGGCCATGCTGTGAGTGTGGGGCCATGCTGTGAGTGTGGGGCCATGCTGTGAGTGTGGGGCCATGCTGTGAGTGTGGGGCCATGCTGTGAGTGTGGGGCCATGCTGTGAGTGTGGGGCCATGCTGTGAGTGTGGGGCCATGCTGCGAGTGTGGGGCCATGCTGCGAGTGTGGGGCCATGCTGTGAGTGTGGGGCCATGCTGTGAGTGTGGGGCCATGCTGTGAGTGTGGGGCCATGCTGTGAGTGTGGGGCCATGCTGTGAGTGTGGGGCCATGCTGTGAGTGTGGGGCCATGCTGTGAGTGTGGGGCCATGCTGTGAGTGTGGGGCCATGCTGTGAGTGTGGGGCCATGCTGTGAGTGTGGGGCCATGCTGTGAGTGTGGGGCCATGCTGTGAGTGTGGGGCCATGCTGTGAGTGTGGGGCCATGCTGTGAGTGTGGGGCCATGCTGTGAGTGTGGGGCCATGCTGTGAGTGTGGGGCCATGCTGTGAGTGTGGGGCCATGCTGTGAGTGTGGGGCCATGCTGTGAGTGTGGGGCCATGCTGTGAGTGTGGGGCCATGCTGTGAGTGTGGGGCCATGCTGTGAGTGTGGGGCCATGCTGTGAGTGTGGGGCCATGCTGTGAGTGTGGGGCCATGCTGTGAGTGTGGGGCCATGCTGTGAGTGTGGGGCCATGCTGTGAGTGTGGGGCCTTGCTGAGAGTGCCACCACATGTCGTTGCTCTTACTCTCTCGTCAGCCCAGCTTCGCTGCTCGTGCTGTCTTTGAGTCGTTTGTGCTCTTCTTGCTTGGCTTGCGTTCCCTGTCCAGCCATCGCGCATGCCTCCCTTTGCTTCTCGCCCACCCGCCCCCCATTCCTCCCCCCTGCCTCTCGTCCATCCCCCATGCGCCCTCTTGCTTTCCTGCCCGCCCAGCCCCCATTCCCCTCCCGCTTCCCGTCCGTCCATCCCTGCTTCCCGTCCGCCCACCCCCCCTGCTTCCCGTCCTCCCGACCGACCCCCCCTGGCTTCTCGTCCTCCCCCCTCCCCCCCCTGCTTCTCGTCTGCCCATGCCTGCAGGGCGCTGCATCACAACCAGCTGTCAGGCCCCATCCCCGAGTACCTCTGCCAATCCGTGCTGCAGATCATGTAACGTCCACATGCTGTAACGTTCACTCGGTGCAACACGCTCACCATGCAATGTTTGGATAGTGTAATGCGCAGATGACTTAGCATTCACACAATGTAGCATTCGGGTTACGTTACCCTGAGGCCCAGTAGCAAGCAGGCAGGTATGAATGTGGGCATTCATGTAGAGATGCCCTGGTGACAAGAAAGGCTTGTCATCCATGCATTGTCATCCATGTAGAGATACCCTTTATCGTGCAAGCGCTTGCACTGGTGACAATGCATTGCACAGGCACCAACACGTTGATTGCACTTTCACCCTGCGCTAGTTGCCTCCTCCCTCCTGATATCCTTTTGGGTGCTGTCATCTACCCACACCATCCATCTTGCTTGCTTCCTCACCTCCTCGCTCCCCTCACCCTCTCCCCTTCTCTCGCGTTCTCCATTGCCACTTTTGCCCCATGTCTCCACCTGCCCACCTTCCCACCTGCCCACCTTCCCACCTGCCCATGTGCACACCTGCCCGCCCTTCCACCTGCCCGCCCTTCCACCTGCCCGCCCTTCCACCTGCAGGCTCCTGGGCAGCAACGCCTTCTGGGGGGCCCTCCCTCAGTGCCTGCCCTTCGTCTCCTCCGTCCAACTCATGTCCGTTTGCCCTTTCAACCTTCGCCCTTCAACCTTCGCCCTTCAACCTTCGCCCTTCAACCATCACCTTCGCCCTTCAACCATCACCTTCGCCCTTCAACCATCACCTTCGCCCTTCAGCTCCCTTCCCTTATCACCCTGACGTTGTTCTTGTCCCTCTTTCTCTCTGCTGCTCCTCTTGTCGCACTCTCGTTTGTAACCTTCAACCTCCAATCGTACTGCGAATTCCGCTTCCTTAACTTTCCGGCCACCTCCGCTCCTGACCTCGCCTCTCCCCTGTGACCCCTGCTTCCCTTTGCTCTGCACCTCTCTCCCAGTGACGTCAGCAACAATCTACTCTTCATGGATGCCGCAACCTTCCAAAACATGCCGCCCATCAGCCTGGACCTCAGCGGCAACTACCTCTACGGCTCCCTCTCCCCCTCCCCCAACATCACCCTCTCTTCCTCCTCCTCCTCCTCGCCCCCCATCCCCTCTCTCGTCCTCCCAGCGACCCCCCAGCCCCAGTCCCTCCCCCCCTGGGCGGTCCAGGATGCAACGAACTCTCAGTGGGTGGGGGGGGCGCAGGGGGAGCAGCAGGAGGGAACTGGAGCAGGAGGGGAGGGCGGGGGGAATAGCAGCGCTGTGGCATGGCTGGCTGTGGAAGGGAATTGTTTGAGGAGTGAGGGGGTGGGGCAGCAGCGGGGGGCAACAGAGTGTGCCGCGGTGTGTGGGATAGAGCCAGGGCAGGGCGCGTGTGGGGGTGCGGGTGCGGGGCAGTGTGTGGTGCAGAGCGGTTGGCCGCCGTCCCTCTCCTGCTCTTGCGCCAGTGGCTACGTTGCTGTCACTGCTGCCGGCACTGCCAACACCACCACTTGCCAACTGCAACCCGCTTCCGGTATGTTGAATCAGTGGCTTGATCTGTTGCCCTGCTCCACCTTCCAGTGTCTACCCAACCCTCTTTGCTGCCTTCTTTAGCTTCACTCCCACTCCGTTTTCCTCTCTCTCTACTTCTCAACGCCACCCCCCCCCCCCCTCCCCTTCCCCCTGCCTTCCCCTCTCGTCCCCTCCCCTTCCCCCGCGGTTCCCCCCCCCTTTCCCCCCTCGTCCCCCCCCCTTCCCCCCCATAACCATGTCATGAACGTTTTGTTACCCATATCTTATCACTCTTTTCTGTGCCTCTACAGCTCCCGCTAACCACCGCCCCGTTTCCCTTGACCCCCCATTCCTTGGCAGTGTCCTCTCTGTCCACGGGTGCCATAGTGGGCATCGTTCTGGGCTGCTTTGCTGGCTTCACGCTGCTGGCTGCTATGCTCGCATGGCTGCTGTGGCCCCGCGGACCAAGTAACCCCCTCCACCCTTCTCCAGCTCCGTTCCGTCTCCCGTAATCCTGTACCTGTTTCTTGGCCTCCTTCTCTGCTTAATTTCCCTGCTGCTTTTCCTGCATTACAACTCTGCCTTTCCACTACCCTCGTGCTCTCTCCACTCGTCTACACACTTGGTCATTCATTCCTCTTCGTCTCTCTCTCTCTCTCTCTCCCCTTATCCTGCTGTGTGCACCCGCACAGAGAAGTGGGAGGGGTTGGATGTGTGTGAGCAGTTCTCGCTGCAGCAGATGGTGAAGGCCACCAACAACTGGTCGGAGGACAATGTGCTGGGCAAGGGCGGCTTTGGCGTTGTCTACAAAGGCCGCTCGCCACAGGGGCAGCTGTGGGCCATCAAGCGCTCCACCATCATGACCAACGACTTTGAAACGGAGGTCAAGCTTTCCTCTACTACCTCCCTGCTTTCCGCCCACAGAGCGCAGAAATATAACTGTAATCTGTTGTCCAAAATACCGACCTGCAGATTCCGTGCTCGCCTTTCCATTTCCATCTGCATCGGCCTGCATTGTGTTGCATGTCCATGTCGCAGGTGCGAGCCAT